TTACAGATCAATAAGGTAGAGCATATGTATTGATGTAAGTGCTTTGACCAATTATAGTTTTAAAATTGATTTGAAAATAATTTTAAAAAATTGAATGTGATTTTTGTTTGCGGAACAATTTTCTTTATTTATTTAAAAAATGCAAAATGTTTTTAAATTATTTGTTTTAGGGCCAGTCTTTTCACCTCTGAGTAACGTCGAAAGTAACTACTTGCTGATTAAACTATAGGGCTATTTTTGCTCCAGGGTTCTCATATAATACTTTCTTCCGATCATTGTGATCTCTGCGCACAGTGAAATTTTGTCAAAAGAAGTCAAAACCTTCATTGTTATCTGGGTATCTATGCTGCACTAAAAATTTTGCATTAAAAACATAATTCCGGTGTACTCTTAATTTTACAATGATTGAATATGTATAACCGTTGTAGGTCTTAAATAACGCAATCGTAGAAAATGTTAAGTGTGTAATTTTTAGCAGGAACCAATGGGCTCTAGGATAGCTTAGCCGCCAGACCCATAAATATCTTTGTTCGCGCACCTATTGGAGAATATACTATTATTAAACTAATCAACAACCTAAATAATATCACTTCCATTTTTAGATTCTTTATTTATATTAAGTTTATTGGTTTCTGCATTATTTTCTCTGGTTGTTACTTCAGGAACTTCATAAACTTCAGTACCATATATATAATCGATGTGATATATAATTATCCTTGGTCTCTGATTATTATAAGGAATAATTAATTTGACAGTGAATTCTAGCTACTACAGCTAACGAGTCCAATCTTAAGTTCATTGGGAATACCGAATTTTTGATGACATTAGTTTGAAGTAGAATTAAAAACCAAGATAATTTTATTGGTACAGTGTCATACTACTTTTAAGTACTTTAATTTGTTTCTCGCAAGATTGAAGCAACATGCGCATGATGCCGCTGTTCTCTCGTAGCAATTTACATCACATCTCTTTGAATAATAAAAATGCAGTAAAAAGCAGAATATTCCAGATGTTTTTTTTTGCGGTATATGAGTCGAGCAACATTGATAACCGAGTTCTGTATGTGTCACTTTGTCGGTGAAAACAGAGAGGCGCCAGATCGCAACCAACAGGCCTCGAGTGGCCTACTCACTTACCCCTTGGGGACCCCCTACGCCCCCCTCGGCAATTCCAGACCAAATTGATAATCACTCGGAGCACATGACACTTCTATAATGTGATTATATCGCGACGACCATCATGTGCCAAAATAGTCGGCGGGTCCGTCACAATCGCCAATATTAAAAGTACCTACCAATATTGAAAAACGTGCAATTGTGATAAATGAAAATAATTTTCATATTAATATTATTTAATAATAATATATATTATTATAATAATGGTAATAATAATGATAATTATAATGATAGGCAATGATAATGAAAATGATGTTAATGTTAATAATGATATGATAATGATAACAGGAACTAAAAACTTATCAAAGTCTAGTCTTGGTTATTATAATTATATAAGTCACAATGTAATAATTTCCTTTAAGTTCAGTTTATTATTAATTGATAAACATACATCATCTGTATTTGACTAATAGCTGATAATCATTCTTGATACATTTGGATGGTGTTATACAATAAAGACTCAATCAACATTTTTCCAAAAGTTTTCTAGAGGTTTTCTAGAGGTATTAATTCCTGTTTTCTAACATACGTTTTAAATATTTTTTATTTATTTTCTCCATTCAACTTCTTTATTATATAATACCATCCATTTCATTTAAGGTCTGTCATTGCTTTTATAATGTTACTGTAAATTATTAAGCTGTCATGTTTTGTTAATTCGTTAGTTTGATAATTTTTGACAATATGTTTTGTGCATTGGCTTATGCTATTATCGATAGTCCCCATACCACTTACTGTATTATAATGAGAATAATAGCGAAGTATTCCTAAAGTGGCGCTGGGAATCATTAACGAAGCCTACACAGAACACGAGGCTAAATAACCAGAGTAGTTGAAGCCGATGACACACAAAAAAAATAGCGAATTTTAGATTTTTTTTAAATTTTCAATCCGGAAATATCGTTGGTAAAAACAAAATACAATATACCCAAGTTAATGGACAAAATAATAGCTATCTGTGTATTAAGAGCAGAAAGTAGCATTTTGGCAGTTAAGACAAAAAGTTGCCGCGCGTAGCGTTAACGGAGCGCGGCAATCTGTGGAAACTGCCAAAGGACTTTCTGCTCGAATTACACACAAGATTTTTTCTACGATCACACTAGTACTTATACATCATTAATTATTTATGATTTAGTGCTTTAATTATTTACGGAAAATACTGTTTGATGATTTAAAATATTAGGAAGTCAAGTAAAATATTTTAGATTAGCCTACATTTTATTTTAAAATACAGATTAGCTTTCTTTTATTTCATTCATTCGTACTTATATGACAGGTGGCAATATGTTAAAGTAAAATCCTCTAAAACCGATTATTTTCCACAATACTCTGGAGTTCCACAAGGTTCCATTTTTGGACCGCTATTTTTTATTATTTTTATTAATGACATAGATCAGCATCTGGACACTAAATTTATAATCTACGCGGATGATTGTAAGTTATTTAAAAATATAAATAATATAAATGACTGCTTAGCATTACAAAATAACATTGAGCTGATGCAATTCTAACTGTCTAGAACTAAGCGCGCAAAAATGTAACGCGATGACATTCACACGTAAAAAAATTGGAATCCACTATGACTACGTAATTGGTTCTACGCGTTTAAACAGACCAAATTATATTAAAGACTTGGGAGTTACTTTTGACCCGAAGTTAAGTTTTGTTCCACACATTAACGACGTAGTTGCTTCTGCTTTTCGAATTCTTTGATTCATTCTCAGAAATATGAGTGATTTCAAAAGTATAGACAGATGCAAAATGTTATTTAGTTCACTCGTTATATCCAAATTGGAATACGCAAGCGCAGTGTGGTCCCCAATATATGATGTTCATATTGCAAACCTAGAAAAGGTACAGAGACGATTCTTGAAAAGTCTCCATTTTAAAATTTACGATTATTACCCCCCTCGCGGATTTCCACAGGATCAGTTGCTTCAAAATTTAAATTGTGTAAATCTTCAAGATCGTCGAGTAATGCATTCTATATTATTTTTGTTTAAACTCATGAACTACAAAATTAATTGTGCCGAACTTTTGTCGCAAATACGTTTACGGGTTCCTCGTATTACCTCGAGAGATCACCAAACTTTTTCATTGCCCATACCGCGAACAAACATTTTATTACAATCACCACTTTATCAAATGCAAACCAATTTTAATGCACACTCTGAAAACATTGATATTTTCAATTGTAGAGAATGTGATATAAAAATTTGTTTAGGTTTCGACAATACCTAGTTTTATCTTGTACGAGTACGTCTTATTTTACTTCAGTTTTTATATTTAATGTGTCTAAGTTTTACTTAGTTGTATTATTGTTCGAATTCGTTTTTTTTTGTAAATTTAATATTTACGTTTTCATGTATTTAATTTATATATGTATGACATTGTATTTTATTTTTATTTTTGATTTGTATTCCACCTGTAATAGGTACAGGTTGGATAATAAATAAATAAATAAATAAATAAATAAATAAATAAATAAATAAATAAATAAATAAATAAATAAATAAATAAATAAATAAATAAATAAATAAATAAATAAATAAATAAATAAATAAATAAATAAATAAATAAATAAATAAATAAATAAATAAATAAATAAATAAATAAATAAATATAAATAAATAAATAAATAAATAAATAAATAAATAAATAAATAAATAAATAAATAAATAAATAAATAAATAAATAAATAAATAAATAAATAAATAAATAAATAAATAAATAAATGAAAATAGACAAGCGTGTGCCGAAGTTACTTTGGCGCACGTGTGCGCCAATAATATCAAGTTATGACATTTCGCGGAAAACGTCAACTTTCTAATTACATTTAAATGTGCAGAAACCTACTTTGGATAGTGATCGTAGAAAAATTAATTTTATGATATTTCTGGATTGTTGCAAAGTTCAATATTAAATATTTGCCTTATACTGTCGATCTACAATTGATTTCAAATAATAACTCGAGAGCCATCAAAAAAACCCTATCCCATAGACTAAAATCAACGGAACAAAAGTGCGATTCTCTTAGAAACCATGTGGCAACGCTCCCACATATAGACATACACATAACAAACGCCGGCCGACATATATCACACCTTATCAGATTAGCACACTACCGTCAGGAGCCAAGAACACCCAGTGAAGGAGAGTAAGAGATGACTACTTAACCGCTGCCGCACAGATGCGACACACACCCGCGTTTTCTACCGACTACATGGCGCGGTGGCGGTAGGATAAATCACTTTAATCAATTTATGGGGCACTTTGCTACTTTCCGCCAAATTTACTTTTTGAGGAATGTATGTGAATGGAGGTGTTAAGTGATTAGCGTAAAACTTTGTAGAATAACGATCTTGACTTTTTTTTGCAAATTAGAGCTAATGTAGTTAATGTCTTCACTTATTTACTACACACTATATTACTAGTAGAAAAATATAGTGCGAGAAATTGAAAAATATTTTTTCTACGGCTCCTAACAAAAAACTTCTTTCGAAATACTGGTGACTTGTGGTAATTTAAAAAGGGTGTCAAAATTGGTTTTCGATGCTGTATCTAGGGTTTCTGAGCTTTATGGATCTAAATTATTCAAAGTCTAAACATCTGTTGAAGTTGATCAAGCAACTTAACTTTATGTCAATTGAGAGATTGTATGTCGAGTCTGACAGTAACATTGAAACTTTTCTGTTTAATTGCATACGAAATTTTTTGCAAATCGAATGTCAATTCAATATAATTTCAAACAATTACAACATTTGTACTAATAATTTATTAATTATATAATTGAATATCACCTACCAATAACCTATTTTGTTTCAGCTTTTCTGTGTGTGTCGGCGTAGTGGAGCAACTAGCAAGGTGCTGCTTGTCAGTTAGAGGACCTGTACATGACATTCCAAATGCTTGCGCGTTCTTATTAGCTGCTTTGGAATTTTTGGCAGCTTTAGCAGACCATGCCCCCGAAGATTCTGATGCTACACACCTAGTGAGTTTCTAAATTCATTTTTGATTAAAAATGCCAAAAAAATTTAAGTTGGTATACAAAAGTATTTTGATTTGAATTGGTAGTAACTGACATTTTTAGGAATCCAATACAAAGACTATGAACATTTGTAACACAAAACACAAGAAGTACTGTGATGAATGGTTGTTAAAAATAAAAAGAATATGAACGGTGACCTAAATGAAAAATTAGCCCCCTAATCATATTCTTATACAACGGTTAATGTAAACACACATATACATACTCGCTGAACTCCATTTTATTGCATAAATAAAAATCACTGTATGCACATGCGACCGTACGCATTCAAGTACCAAATCAGAGTAGTTCTAGCAAGATTAAGTCGATGTTTAAAAAATAACACCACCCAGCGATAGTCTATGACGAACTGTAAATACGCTCCCATTGGCTGAACCAAAGTCTCTTTGCCATTAACTATTTATTTAATTTAAACAAATGCGATATTTGTTTCAAAAGAATCTAGAATTTTGTCATTTCAAATACAAGATTTATTATAAGCAATATTTTAAAGACTTCATTCAAATAAATAAAAAAATGGTTCAAAATAATAATTTTGTTATTTATATTTTTTGATTTTTTTAATTTGGTATTAATATTTTGATTTTTTGCTGTCAAAAAATTTACTTAAAAGCCTGCAATATTTAAGTGAAATATTTATAATTTCAAGTAAATTTACAAGAAAAAACAAATAACTTATATTTTAAACAAATAAATTTCTGTTAATTTGACTAATATTAATTTAATACCAATATATATTGGACAAACAATTTATTTATTAAAAAAAAAAGTTCAGTTTTATCAGTGTGCAAATAAAAAACGCATGTTAGAAGAGATGAAGTACCAAATTAATACTTAGGGCATCCGTACTATGTGCTTTGAACCAGAACTAAAATTAAAATCAAAATGATTCATTGTAATAATCAAAAATAATATTATTCCATTGAAGACTGATCCATATTTTTATTTTAGGTAAGTACCTTGCACGCCACTGAGCTACTGGGATGCGTCTCGATGTTGTACGGTTCCCTTTTGCCACCCGATTCGACACCTAGGGTCGAAGGGCAACAGCCCCCATCGATACCGACACCTTGTCTCGCGCTGGCGTCTGTGACGTTCAAATTATTAAGAAGAGTTGCAGAATTAGATATTAAAAAGTTCCAGGTAAGTGACAATTTTTTTATGCAAAAGTTGTTTAAGGATACCACAGCACTTTCGGTTTTTGATAACATGATTTAAATTTGAATGTTAGTTAATCCTTTTTTACGTAACTGTAACTACACTCTTTAACCTCCATATTTTGTCCAATATATCGCAAAAGTCGTCCAGCAAGATAATATGCGCAGCCATACTTTTATTTTATGTTCTCAATTAAGTTGGTCTGGTTGAACAGATTTGTCAGCACCGCGAATTTGTAGATATATATCGTTAGGCACTCTACCAATTCTCTATAGTCTATTTTTATGTATGAAAGAGTAATAAAACAGCATTTCTAATGCAAAACTTAGTACGGTCATTTTAAATATTTTTACAGAATAATCTAAATATTTCCTAAAATTGTAATAAATGTACCTGAGCTATTACAAGTTTTGGGTCTTTTATTGGTCCTTTATAAACATAAGCTGTACAGAACAATAGAAAAAGGTTTGGACAGGCCAAAAGCCCTGTGTATTAAAGATTACATAGCCGCATCTTAAGATTATTTTCAATAAGTACCTATTTGCCAATTTTGTTTTATTTTTTTTCCAAGAATTTCTTACAGTAATCGAATTATAAGTAGATAAATACCCACCCAACAAATTTCACCGAAAATGCGATTATAGGTTTTCCATTTAGTAAGGAGGTCCAAGTTGTGTATTCTTGACAGTTTACTAAATGTCGTTTAGTTGCAACTTGCAAGGTGCAGTGTGAATTCTAGTGTGATCATGGAAAATTTGGAAGGGCCGCGTAAACGACAAAAAATCGGTCCTTTAACAGTTAATGAAAAAACATTAATATTTAATTGTTTTAAATCATTTACAGACAAACATTTATGTAAAAGTGTTGATGACACAGTGGAATTAGTTAGTAGTACGCTTGGTGTTGGGAAATCTACGATTTACAGAGTTGTTAAAGAAGACAAATGTGGCGAGTTTCAAACAGCACGTAAAGCTCCAGGAAAACCAAAATTTCAATTAGAAAATCTTTTGAAAGAAAGACTTCGAAGGAAAGTGCATGCGTTCTTCTTTAGAAATGAATTTCCGACAGTAGACAAAGTTCTTGCCACGGTTCGAGATGATAAGGATTACCCTGAAATGAGTCGAAGCACACTATGGAAACTTTTAAAAGAAATAGGTTTTCTATGGAAAAAGCATTCCAGAAAGTCTATTTTAATAGAAAGAAGCGATATTGTAGTATGGAGAAGAAATTACCTAAGGACTATAAAAGAAATGAGAAACCAAAGAAGAAATATATTTTATTTATATGAAACATGGATCAACGAGGGACATAAACCAAATAAATTTTGGCAAGATGAAACTGTTACAAGTTGAAGACAGGCTTTTTTAAATAATTAATCTACTGGTTTAAATCCACCATCAGGAAAGGGGCGCAGACTAATAATAGTACACATCGGTAGTTCAAACGGTTTTGTTAAAGGTAGTTTATTGACTTTTGAATCTACTCGTACCGGTGACTACCATGAGGACATGAATGCTGATGTCTTTAAAGAGTGGTTCGAACAAATTATAGATCTTCTTCCTCAGATCTGTGTAATAGTAATGGATAATGCAAGTTATCACTCGAGACTTATAGAAAAAATGCCCACAACCAAGTGTTTAAAAAAATATTTACAGAATTGGCTAAATTCAAAGAATATTAAGTTTCATCCCGGTTCTGTGAGAAAAGAACTGTATCATTTGTGTTCCCTTCATAAAGACAAATTCAAAAAATATGAAATTGATGAAATTGCAAAAAATCGTGGGATGACGGTGGTTAGATCACCACCATATCATTGCGAAGTAAACCCGATTGAACTGATATGGGCACAGATAAAGGGAGAAGTTTCAAGAAAAAATAATTCTTTTAAAATGAGTGATGTTAAACAGTTGTCTTTGGAGGCTGTAAATAATGTGAAGCCTGAAAACTGGGAAAAGGCAGTAAATCATACGATTAAAGAAGAAGAGAAAACGTGGAAGTTGGACAATATTACTGATGAAATGATCGAGCCTAAATATTGGTTGCGACAGTTCATCTTCTGATTTCGATTTTGATTTGGATTTGTAGGTAAGAAGTAGTTTTTATATTAAAATTATTATTTATGAACGTAACGTTGTTTAAAAGTCAAAGTTTAAACCCTTATACCTACATAACCCGCTTGACACAATGTTCTTAACATACCTTGTGGAAAAATAAAACAGTTTAGAAAACATTGCACTTTTTTACCTTCAGCTGTTTAGAAGTTATAATTTGGTTAATTAGGTGAAAATATAAGTGTATACTCGAAGAATAACTTCAAAAAATATTTTAACTGTCTACTAAAAGAAGTGGATTACGAACGCTTTATTATTTTAATACTCTCTCATACATAAAAATAGACTATAGCAGGACCATCTTGGAATAAATACTTATCGTAAGAATCTGTTAGTGGCACTGACCTCACTTAATCTATTAAAAATAAGTAGGTATATTTACCTTAATTTCCAAATAATGGTTGAAATAAATAAGTATACCGGGTGTTGCATCGTCGAGAGGGACATGGGAAATCCCATGTAATTTTAAATTGGGTCAATTATTGGCTTCCCTAATTATTTTAGAAAAAAGTTATAGCGTCCAGTAGATATTTACAATGTTGATATCTGTTTTGAATAAAACATCTAAAAATACAACTTTATTGTCTCCTTATATTTTTGCGAATCTCTTTTCGTTTTTGAGAAAATATCTAAACTTTAAAATGCACGTCTCTGAAGCAACTAAAAATACAACTCAAAACGAAAGGCGGTATACAAAAAATAAATAAAAGAAACAAAGTTGTATTTTATAATGTTTTATAAAAAACATAAAAATTTAAAAATATACAGGGTGATATTCTTTTCCAGCAGATGAACTTCTTAGATAATAACTTTATCACATTATTGTATTGATGATTTCTCTCATGCCCATTTTGTCGAATTCATACTTTATTTACAGAAAAAACTCAGCATATATTAAAAAAATTACATCCTTAGCTAATTTTTTTACAAATCTTTTCTCATACACGTTTTAAATGAGTATTTTGTGACTATATGAGTGTGTTCAATTAGCAAAGTGTAAATAAGGGGACTTTACTCTTGAGTGCATTTTTGATTTCCGTCGTATGAAGGTATTTATTTTAAATTTCATTTAATTAAGTATTTGATTTTGGACAGCACCAAATTTTAATAAAAATTCATCTTAATAAGAAAACTTTAAAAAATTAGTATCCCTGTATATAATTTATATTTTTGTAATTCAAGGTAATTTTAAGATATGGCATCAAGGCGTCGAAACTTTCGCTATTTTTGTTCCGTCCGACACCTATAACTTAGGTCCTGAACTAAAATTCAATATGGTTGCAGCAAAATTATCAATTTTACATTAAATCGTAATTTGTGCACAGTTTAAAAAGTACGCAAAGTTGATTATTAATATTTGGCAAGAATACTCAAAAAAATATGTAGAATGCTGTAAAATTTTTTAAACTGCATCTGTGACTATCACTTTTTTATATTGTTTAATAGTATTTATTAATTAGCAAGAGAAATGAAAGTGTCTCTTTGGAATCATTAAACATTTTACTATAAGCTTACAAAGTTTCAGTAAAATCCATCCAGTGAAAGATAAGTTCTGTAAATAATTGTAAACCTCTGTTTTGACCATGTAAATTACACTGAAATGGCGGCGTAAATAATCAATAACCACGGAGCGCCCACCAAAAAAATATTTAGATTATTAAATTAATAACTTATATACAGGGCCGCCGAGAGTCAGGCCGGGCCCCAGGACAATTCTCTACATCGGGCCCTGTGACCGAAAATCTTAACCAAAAACTGTTCGTTTTCTAAAAAAAAAGCCAAAAAAAAAGTCCTCAGTCCAAAAAAAAACCCTCCAAGCTAAAACTTTTCCTCTAACTTTCAATCACATCATCACCTCCCCTTTCTCTTCTTATGTCGAATTTCTCATGCTGAAACAGAAAACCCTCTTGTCGGGCCCCCTTATAGCGCTGCCGGGCCCCCATTTTTTTTAGCCCGGGCCCCGGGAATTGGTTCCGGCTACCCCCCTCTAGTCGGGCCTGTTTATATACTTACTAATTTATTCGAAACAATTTCTACTTAGGAATATTTTCCGTCTTTGTTTATAGTCAATTTTAACCAAATTGTAGAAATGGGAAATTTCCTGCGTCAGGAAGCCAGGTAATCAGAAATTTAAGGTAGGACCTGATTGGCGAAGCTTTAGCATTTTTTTTTGGAATCTTCACATACCGGTATCCTAATCATAACCTATTCAATATATTTCACAATACTTCCTTCCACCTGTACCTGTATCTTAATATCCAAGTCCATGCAGGCTTTCATGAGATTCATTAGAAATGTTGTAAAACTCATACAGAAAGCAGAATATTGAGTAGCAGTTAGATAATAATTAAAGCTTTCGTTTACCCAGGAGATTGCGTGATCAAGAATTCCAAAATAAAAAGCAGTCTTAATTTACTGGAAGGGATTTGAAACTAGTTTATCACTGCCCTCGTAATCAAATAAACGGATCGTTTTCCTGAGCTTCAAGATGGGAAATTCGGGATCATTACCTAAATCTCTAGCAAGTTTTTTTATAATATAAACAGCTAGATTTTCTGTCACTCTCATCGATCGGAAATTATTTGCTAATTATCTTTTCGATTAATTGTTAGGCCAAAATCAGTTTTCGTTAATTTTGACCCATGGGAAACTGATTTCGACTCCGTGGGGTCGGTATTGACCACTTAGGGATCCCTGATGTAGATCCATTAAAATATTTTTGACCAACACTGGATAACATTTAGTAGTTGCGGTAAAAACACTAACTATGCAAATTCATCACACTCTGACCTGAATATATCTATTTTTCTACTTAATTTTTTTACGAAATAAGTTGACATGCCGCCTAGCTGAATGGATGAACCGGTAACAACG